GTCATGGTTTTTAATGTTTGTTTTCTTTTGGGATTAAAATATTGTTATTTGGGACATTTTCTATATTTAATAGAGATGGTGGTTGTCTTTTAAAGTCCTTGCATCAGGGTTATTTTTTATTTTTTTTGCAATTTCCGTACCGAGGACTCCATTCACCCTGAATTCCTTTTTAGGGGCTATGACTATGGAAAGGGCATTTTTGTTTATTCAGTTTTTATTGATATCACAAATTAACTATACACATCAATATTAAAGTATCTCAAACAACATTTCATATAATATTTGGCAGTCACCAATATCATTCTCAATTCTCAATCATTCTTTATTTTTATGAGGAAGTGAGTAATAAATTGGACAGAGGAATGGCTGTGGATATAGTATACTTGGACTTGCAAAAGCGTTTGACACAGTTCCCCACATGCGGCTGTATAATGTCTAAGTTAAAGTCAGTAGGTATAGAGTATTCGATCTGTAATTGGATAGAAAACTGGCTTAAAGACCGTATTCGGAGAGCGGTGATCAATGATTCATACTCGGAATGGTCGTAGGTTGTTAGTGGTGTCCCCCAAGGTTCATTGTTGGGCCCTTTACTGTTTAATCTATTAATAAATGGCACAGAATTGGGGATTAAAAGTACTATTTCTGTGTTTGCAGATGACACCAAGTTATGTAGTGGAATACAGTCCTTACAGGATGTCTCCAACTTACAAGCATATCTGAATGCACTGTGTGATTGGGCACCTATTTGGCAAATGAGGTTTAATGTTGATAAATGTAAAGTTCTGCACTTGGGGACTAAAACCACGCATGCATCATACACTCTAGGGGGAGTATATTTGGGGGAGTCAATGGTGGAGAAAGATCTGGGTGTTCTGGTAGACCAGAAACTCAATAATATCATGCAAGTACAGGCCGCAGTTTCTAAAGCAAGCAAAATACTTTCTTGTATTAAAAGAGGTCTAGACTCCAGAGATAGAGACAGTGGCGGAACTACCACCGGTGCGGGCGGTGCCGCCGCACCGGGGCCTGAGCCTACAGGGGGCACAGTATCTATTCAAACACAGCCCTGGGACAGAGATGGGGGGGGGGCCTGTTGGTGTCCGGCCGCCGGTTGTCCGAGAATAAAAAAAAGCCTGCAGGCAGTGCAGGGGGCAGCCCTGGGCCTCGGTCGTGAGGACCCAGCAGACAGCCGTCTGAGTACATGGGCGGGCTGAGATGGACACACACACGGGTGGTTTTGTGCAGCCTCCCCCCCAGGAAACAGCCAGAGGAGGTGAAGGTAAGTTAATAAATAAAATCATTATTTTTTTTTTTTTAGCCCAATTGATGGCATTGTTGTATAAAGTACAGTTGGTATTTGTAGTTCTACATAACAGGTCCCATTCTGCAATGCAGAATGGCACCCTCTATAGAGGACTACAAATCTCAGCAGTTCTTTATACAGCAATGACATTTTTCCAACTTTTTTTTGCTAAAGGGGATATGGGTTAGGGGGGTTTGTGGTTTTGTTTTTTTTGGGGGAGGGGGTGCCCAAAAATAATCTTGCACCTGGGCCCTTTGTTCCCTAGGTCCACTACTGGATAAAGACATCATCCTGCCCCTGTACAAAGCATTAGTAAGACCTCATCTGGAATATGCAGTTCAGTCCAGTTCACAAAAAGGATGTTGTGGAACTGGAGAAAGTGCAGTGAAGGGCGACTACACTCATAAGAGGCATGGAGGAGCTCAGCTATGAGGAAAGATTAGCTGACCTGCATTTGTTCTCTCTGGAGAAGAGGCGATTAAGGGGGGACATGATCACCATGTATAAATACATAAATGGTCCATATAATGAGCTTGGTGCCAAATTATTCACGTTATGGTCACTGCAAAGGACAAAGGGGCACTCTTTGCATCTGGAGGAAAAGAGGTTTAACCTTTGCATACGGAAAGGATTCTTCACAGTTAGAGCTGTGAAAATGTGGAATTCCTAAATGCACAGAATATTACTGGATATTTCGTTTTTCTAGGTATATTAAGCATCAGAGATTGTTGATCCAGGGAATATCCGATTGCCTTATGGGATCAGAAAGGAATTTGTTTCCCCTGTTGGAGCAAATTGAACCATGCTTTATAGGGTTTTTTTGCCTTCCTCTGGATCTGGGGGTAGCTGTGGGCACAGCGTTCTCTTTAAGCTTTTCTTCTCTTTTTTTTTTTCTCTCTGTATCTCTATAGGTTGAACTCGATGGACTTGTGTCTTTTTTCAACCTGACTAACTATGTAACTATGTAAGTCACCAAACTTTTTCCATCAATAATAAACAATTATTTTTTTTCTCTTTTCTTTTGAAAAGAAAATCTATTTTGCTTGGATGGTTATATAAGTTACAAGGATTTTTAGACAAGTTTATTGCAGAATTATACTTTTTATACTTTTCACAGTTTCTATGGAACTGACACGTCTTTATTCACTCCCTGAGTGCTTTCGGGAGGGGTATGGAGTGATGTTTATACCATTTTATTTCGAAGATATTTCTGCACACAACCAATAAGCAAACCAACCCTGACCTTGTCAACAAAGATAGCTGTAGACTAAAATACAAAGGTCATTTTTAATATAATAAATCACAAAAGGGCTTGTGTAGAATGTTTTAGTGCAGTATTTAACTAGAGTTGATTATACATGTTAGATTAAATTGTTAGTGATATATTTAGCTATCATAATCCAACACAACTGGCCTTGCTGGTTGTTTTTCTCAGCACTCATCGAAAAAGCTTTTTCAGTGGCTATTGGCACCAGTTGCTTTTGGGGCTATGAAGGTACTCTGGAAACATATGCAGTTAAACAGAAAACACTTCTTGGAATGGTGAAACATTGCAAAAAAAAAACAGCAAGTCCAGTTGGGTTTGAGTTACAAGATATCTCCTGACCTGAGTGACTGAAAACCTTCATAGACACGATCATAGTATGGTTTTATAAATTGCTCAATATACTGCAAAAGGTACAGTGATGCTGTCTGGTTCATAAAACATTGCAGAAATGTTTGCTAATCACTGCATATTTTTCTAACCTGATACCAATGATCACATAGCACTATATTATAAAATGATATTTTTAGGTCTTTCAAAGGTGCAAGCTCATGCTGTGCTATTAAATATTAGAACAGGCAACGATTAATAAAAAAATAGGTTGGGATAGGGAGCTTTGTGCATAAAAGATAATAAATGCTACCAAAATGTTCTAGAGGGGCACAAAGTAGTCCCCTTGACAGCAGCTCTGGACACCTGAGGGCATTGTCAGTTCCAGTACATGTCTTCCTGATATAAGGTCAGTGGTGGGGAACATCATTCTGATAGGAAGGAACAGGCCTTGTGTCTTGGAGAATGGATATATGTTTCTTACAAAGCAAATGCCTTGAAGTTAGATAAAAAACCTGATAGTGTAATAATGCTGCTAATAATATGTGTAATGCCGTAATATGTATTTTATTTCCACTTTGTTAAGTGGATTTTAGCCTGCTAATCAGCAAAACCAGAAATGTGCCCAAATCTTCAGTGCATTGAAAACAATTAATTCACTTGATTGGATAGTGACTTCATATATCTCATGCTCAGCATGCATTCACAGGAAGGGAAGGGTTTACATTAACCTGGTACATGATTGCTAAGATGAACAGAACAGGCAAATCTCTTGTGATTTATTTTATAGCTTCAGTACATCGAATTAGAATACAGGCGATATTAATTTGTATTTCTAACACTGCTCCTAGTACACAATAATCTGAATTCTAAGATGTTATCTTGTGTGCAACTTAAAACCTGTTTTCTCTGTGCCTGGGGCTTCTACTTTTAATGCTCATATCCTATAACATCTTGGGTAATGATATTTTCATGACTGATATGTGTCTTGTAAATTAGTTACGTACAGTATCTTGGTTGCACCCACTGCTATTTCATACTGCATGATTGCTCTGTGGTCCAGGGCAGTTTGGCACCATTATCCTCACAGAACAATATGATAACTGGAAGGTATATATAGTTCAGGCTATATACACACTGGAGCGTCTGTATCTGTGGTAGCATTTCACATTTTTGAAGCATGTTTGTACATTTTTTTTTGCCAATGGAAAGCTAGTTACCAGAAGTAGGGGCGGATGTAAGGCCCAAAATCTCATGAAACAAAAACACGTTATGTACCTTTTTTCGGGTCCTTCTAGTGATCTCTATTGTGGCCAAAAACGTGTAATCATGACTCAATCATGAGCAACAGCACATCACTCAGACGTGAATGGGGACAATATAATAACATGGAAATCTGAGTATTGAGCGTTGAAGAGGTGCTAAACGTGCCTTGAATCACTCAGGTGTGAATGGCGGCTAAGTGATAAACTGCAGTGCTAGTGTTGTAGAGTGGTACTTGGCCCAGTAGTTACAATGTCTTTCACTATGGAGGCTGGATTGCCAAAAAAACTTTCTTATATCACGCCCTATTCCAGCCAAATTGGGGACAGGGCCAGCAACAAATTATTTTATTAGTACAGTGGAGAATTATTGGAACCTCTGTGGGAGGGAGGTTATTGATGACTGTGTCAAGTTTCCCCAGTGTATACAAGACAGCAATAAAAACAGACAGGTTCTTACTCTTATGTTTTCACACTATTCAAAGCTAAGCAAAATGTGGCTGGAGTTGAACTTCAAAGATGAACCTTAGTGAACCATATCCTTATTGCTTTCTGCTTGTGTTCTAATTTGAAGACTACCTTTGCTTCTACACTGTGGTATTCCTGAAACTCTGAACATGCTGCCAAGGTATCAAGCAATAGCAACAGCTACACTCATAGGGTGTCCTAATGTATTACATGGAATCTCTTTGTACATACTTGAAGATTAGAAATAGAAAATGATGACAGTATTTTATTTAATCAAACTTCTTTATGAACTACTGTGTATGCACTGATTGTGTTTTATATAACCAACACCTATATATATTCCCTGAAGTGAACAATATTTTTGTCTCTCTAGTAATGCACAGAAATCGCTTCGGAATGGAAATTTGCTGCCGGAAGGGGTCACGTAGTCCACTCCAGGAACTCTACAATCCAACACAGGTAGGTAACAGAATGTGCATTCTCTTATGTATGCCATCCCTTTTCTCACCACCACCATCAGATAGTCATTTTTTTGATTGCTTTTCAAATCATTTATCACATGGTTATTAAAGACAGGCTATTTTACCATAGTACTAATGATATGCTGCCTCAGAACTTGGAGTTTTACATTCAGAACAGGAAATGTGGGCTATTTCTGAGCCACTTCTTTCTCTTCTACTCAAAATAATCTGATTTTACATGTTCATTCAAGTAGCTGCTTTGAAGTATAAAATAAAGGAATTAATGTGGAATATGATTTTCTTTGACTACATTTTTAGATAACAGTGTTATATTTAATGTAACCCAGTGCTAAAAAAGGTGGCGTGGTTGCCTATATCAGATTCCTTCTTTTCTGGGATGTGGTTGTACATGCATGTAGTAGCCTATTTATTTTTCTTTTGTTCTACCATGTTCTACAAGCATGATATGAGATACCTCTGCTAATGACTTTCTCAATATATCATAGAAAGCGAATACTATTAAAATAATATATTTAGTTAATCTTCAGTTGGTTAACACCTTCATTGTGGCTGCATATCATATCAGTGATAAATAATCTGGAAACAAAGCTAATGCAGAACTAATGCCCATAACAACTGAAGGAATGGCACATGGCCATTGCTGGATTCTATGCCAGTAATTATCAATCAACAGTGGATTCCAAGGAGATATACAAGACAGTAATACATGCAATTACATAGTCATTGAAAAAAGTATTCTTAAATGCATCCAGTATAAGTAGCTGTATAGGTAATATCCTGTGTAGCATCAATAAGAATGGGAGAGGGAGGGCAAGCACTGAGAGTCAATCAGGCTCTGCAGTATTCACATATACTGACAGGAGCAGATAACAGGGTGAGCAGAGGGTGACTCCATACGTATGTCTGCTGCTGCTGTTGTTTCATTGTCCATTCATCAAACTGGGATATGTCTATGCCCTGCTGTACTTCTGTAAATGTAGGGAAGAATCCCAGTCAGCATGCTGAGAGAGGGTAATGGCCAAGCTGTATTGTATAGCTGCAGTTGGATAAGCAAGGTCACAAAATTAAACTCTACTGTGGGGAAGAAGTTCCTAAATTGCAAGTCTGGCTATGCAGAATCACATATGCTTTGGCAGGTAAAACAGTACCCATACATGCATTAGGGGTCGACCGATTATCAGATCTACCCATAATCGGGGCCAATATTCCCAAATTTTGAAATTATCGGTTACATTTACTGATATTACCAATAATAAAAGTGGTCATACACTGTGCGAATACCGGCTGTTTCTTGAGGAACAGGACAAAATTCGGATAGTGGGTGCCGAATGAGCTGCTGGCTCTGTTCGAGTATTCAGCTGGCTCTGTTCGGTTATTCAGCCGCTGTTGGAGTACAAAAGAAATTGTGGGGTCAACCCCCACTAATGACAGTGAAGGGAAGCCTCGCCCAACCCCCACCCCTTCATATGCCGGCGGCTAGATTCCACAGCCGGCTGCTGAATGTAAACAGCAGGCATTTGGCGGGAGCAATAGGCAGCCTGCTATTGGCTATTTCAAATAGCAATAGCCAGTTTGAATAGGGGTTGACTGATATTAGGCCCAGTGCCTGCTGTTTACATTCAGCTGCCTGTGCAAGATTTTGCAACTAGAGGCAAACAGAATATCGGTACCTGATATCGGTTATTGGCCTGAAAGGTGGCCCATAATCGGTATCAGTATAGATTCTGAAAAAACCATATCGGTTGACCCCTAATATGGAGGTCAGTTGTGTGTTTGCCTGGCTTTTAGCTTTTATATGAAGGTCTACTGGATTTTTTGTCAGTAAACAAACATAGAAAACTGAACACTAAACTGGTCTGTAATTACTGTAAGGCACCATTGAGTACTGAAACACATAATACCTGTATGCCCTTTTCCATGTACAGACACCTCTGGTCTCCTGTAGCCATATCCAACAACTGATCTGAGCAATGGTGGTTGGAAAATCATATGTATGCTGTATTTCCATGTCTCCAGTAGCACATCCAGGTTCCATCTTGTGATAATTATGTTGACAGAATCATTGTAGCCTGTCGGGAGAGATGGAATCATTCACAGATGCTTACAGCAGCAATTTCTTGCTTTTTTAGACTGATAGGTTTACATATCGTTTTTCCTAGAAATGTAGAAGACACTGCCTCTATAAGATTAAAAAAATAATAATGATTTGTATTTTCTCCAAAACTATAGAGTTACTCTTTGAATATTTTGGGAAAAGCTTTTAATAGATTAAAATGGCATGTAGCAAAACATTGTGGCTAAATAGTTGGTATATAATATCATGATATCATGGAATGGTTCACAGTGTCTATAAGTGCCTATACTATAGGATGAAAGGGATGGGATGATTCATAGCAATGGCACTGTAGGGATACGTAACAGTCAGATGACTGTCATTGTCATCCTTTTGTCATTATAGTTTGACCATGCAGGATATTTAAAAGAGGAACCAGAACCACAGTGATTTCTTCATATAGCCTGCCCAGAAATTTCAAGGCAAAGGTTGTGGATTTGTAGCTGTATTTTTTTGTATGTGGTTAAAGAGGCATTAAAAAAACTGCTTTGTCATTTATTCTCACCATTAGCCCTTAATTGGCTCTCAGTTCATCAGATCTCTTCTGCCGTCTGTAAAGAGAGGCTGACACCACATACCAGATGAAACATTTATGGAGACCTTGACACATGCCTTTTATATATTCTCTGCAGAATCCCTTCACTCTGCAGCTGATGTAATTGTGTATTCTGCTGCTTTCTCCGATCCATCTCCAAGTGTCTTCTGTACTCTCACCTGAATGGATTTACAGCTTGGGACATATTGATTTAATGTATAGTGCTGCCTCATCATATTTCAGGCAGCACAAGGTTGCATTGTCTGTAACTACAAAATATCAGACTTACTGGAGCCCGTTTATAGTGTTTCCCATTTTTGTCCATGGCTTATATAGCCTTCAGTAAAGGCGTTTTCTTTAAACTGTCATATTCTACTGTCTATTCCTGTCCAGACTGACCAGAATCAACATACAAAAGACCAGAAAATGGTAGGTGCCATTCAGATTGGCCAGAAGATCATGAGACTATTGTTATGAGTTCTGGAGATATTTTAACACTACACCTCAAGCTAAGTGAGTCTGTGCTTTGGCAATGGAGAGAAAAGCAACAGTTTCACTTTATTCTCCAGCAGCACATACTTACCCCACCCCCTAAATTAAGCCAGAAACAGGAGAGACTGCCATGTGTAATCTCCAGGTCGCTTAAGCCATATCTTACACAGGTATATGGACTTTGTGGACACACAGTGCGGGTGATTTGTGGTAGGTCCAGTGCTACCACATGGAGTGAGTAACATGTTCCTACCCAGGGCCATCCCTATGGTAATCGCCATCTGATGACATGTAGGGCAGCAACGAATGCCAGGACGCGCTGTCAGCGGCTCTGTCTGGCGTCCTGCGCAGATCACTGATGTCATTAGTTTCTTAGTTTCCAGGAGCTCAGCTGGACCACTCAGGTCTGACAACCGGTGACCTCAGGTAGCTGAGGGGGATGCCAGACAGAGCATCACAGGTTGCTAAGAACATACCCAGATCAAATCCAAGAACTCAGTCTGATTTATCCTTCTTCGGTGCAAAATTGCTCAAATCTAAACCACTGTAACGTCCTTACAAACCACGAGTCGTCTGCGTTCCAGTGTGGAACGCATCGGCCGCGTCACGTTGGGCGCTTCCCTCCCTGAAGGGGAGGTCCCATGCGTTCCGGGGTGGAACGCGGAAGTGACAGCACGCTCCACGGCTCACTCATTCGCGGACTATATAAAGCTCACCTGAACGCTGTTAGAGCGTTCCACTATTGGGTTTAATGCCCCATCGATGCCAGGAGCCTCTAAACCCCCCTTACTCTCTACAACAGCCTCTGCACGCCAGGATTCCGGGTTACCTTGGTCCATCCAGCTACACTCCATCCTCTGGAGATCCAGGGACCCAGCTTCAAAGCGCAAGTCCTGCTAACTGTGGGGGAATGACACCTAGCCTGCTGGGTTGACTGAGTAGCATTCCACATGGAACTGTGATTTATCCTACTTTGCTGATACCTGGCTAAATACCTGAATCTATTTAAATCTAACACTGTGCATTGTGCCATAGCTCTGATTACTGCATTTGTCCAATGCTATTTCATTTGAAGCAAAGATTCCTAACTGGGTTATGAAGTGAATAACCAAGATTAGGTCTCTCCTTATAATTATGTTCTGTGGCATATGATGCATGAATCTCTCACTCTCCGTCAAGATTGAGAGAGACGCCTGGGATTCTAGCCTGATTGCCATACCCAGAAACTCTTTAGGACTTGGTCCGCAGCTGTGATCCACTCACTCCTCAGAAACCAAGGGAGCATTACAACCACATTCATTTGTAGCAATTTAGCAGTTGCTTATCTTTAAAAAAAGTGCCATGATTAAGACGATGTATCTCTTTCACTACAATTCACTAATTAGTTTAATAGCTAATGTGTATCCTTCACTCATTTTGCAGGTTTCCCAGATCTCATTAATCTGTAATTTACCACTGTGGTAACATTGTATTTTCATGATTTCAATCTTGTGCAGCCTATAAAAAAAAGTTCCTACCAAAAGTTTCTGGTGGAATTGGTAATTTTTTGAAACAATCATAGTTTATTTATCTTTTTATTTTACTCAGCTGCTGTAAAAACCCCTGATCTCTATGACACCACACAACAATTGGTGTTTCATACTGTAACATCGCTGAATAACAATCCACTGTGGAGTCTTAGAAATGATGAGGTTGGCGCATAAACATTTATTATTTTGGCAAAAGGAAAATGATTATTTGGATAGACATGATACCTTTATGAGATGTTTGTTGGTCTTATAGGTATGCATGTACTAAAATATATGTTTTAGTTATTTTCAAGTGCCAATTTTACTGTGGCCATTATTGTTTGCCACTTACAGCAAAAAAACAAACTAAATAAAAAAACGGGAGAAAGGCTAACATAAGCTAGAATACATACTTTACAGAATACTGCTATCTGTTATAAAGTAATACAATTCAAGAACAAAAATGTTAACCATAAAATACTTGAATTTGTGTCATTGTCATTCTCAATCTCTTATACTGTCACACAAAGACAGTAAAAGTATACAGTATAAATTAAGGATGCACCGATAGTGATACCGGTATCGATACCGATACTGGCCAGTTTCACGAGTACTCATACTTGTGAAAATGCCCCGATAAGTGCTGATTCTGGCAGCCTGAGGGGGACCTCGGCAGCCTGCTTACTGGGGACCTCGGCAGCCTTCCTGTGAACACAAATGCCTGTTTACAACGCTGGCCATACATCTCCCCCTTGCTGGGGAACCCAGCCGTTGAGACCCTGGAGACATCAGGCCGCCACCCCGGAGCAGCACAGAGTATGTAGATTCATATTATTCTGCATTGTTGTATAATATATTGCTAAGATTTGTAATCCTCTATAGCTGGTGGTATTATTCTGCATTGCTGTATAATATATTGCTAAGATTTGTAATCCTCTATAGCTGGTGGTATTCTGCATTGCTGTATATTGCATTGCTAGAATTTGTGGTCTTCTATAGCCAGTGCCATTCTGCATTGCTGTATAATGTATTGCTGGGATTTTTAGTCCTCTATAGCTGGAGGTATTCTGCATTGCTGTATAATGTATCGCTGGGATTTGTAGTCCCTCCACAGCTTGGAGTCAGTGGCAGAACTACCAGGGTCACAGTGGTCGAAGGTGGGACCGGGCCCTGGCACTCCAACACTGTCCTAAAATTATTAGTCTGTATTGTTTTAAAAAACATAAAAACATGACACTAAAAAAAGTATCGGTAATTGGCATTGGTAAGTACTTGAGGAAAAGTATCGGTACTCATACTTGGTCCGGAAAAAATGGTATCGTTACATCTCTAGTATAAAATATTTATGATCTACAAAGCCTTTCAAATGATTAACTCTGGTGGAGGTTTTCATGTTTTAGTGTCACAAGACTTTGAATCACAGTGGATTTATTTTTGTCTTTTTTTGATGATGATCAACAAAAGTAGACTATTTGATGTCATAGTGAACATAGACCTCTGTGTTCACCCCTATCAGTCATTATTTGTTGCACCCTTGACAGCAATTACTGCTGTCAGTCTGTGTGGATAGGTCTCTAAAAGCTTTGCACATCGCCATGAACAGACCATTGTAAAAGTCTGACTGTCTGAAGCTTAGAGTACAATGGACATTTACTAATAAAAAGTTGACCACAAGACTATTGGATGTCATGCCCAAATTTAAGAAAGTTTTGGAACCTTAGATATGGCACTTTCTACCACCGTCACCTTGTATATCTGTGATGCCCTTCTCTTAACAGGGCTGGAATGTCCATATGTGAAGGAACCCCAGTGATGCCCTTTTACCTAGACCCTCACCCACCCCTTCCCTTTACCCTCCTATTCCTAACGATTCTTTTTCCTGCTATTCTTACAAGTATCTGGAGTGGCCAATCCACCTCCAAACTTGGAAGCTATGAGACTTGATAGTGTTCATTGTGATTATATCTGTGAGTTGCCTCCGCTGTCATTGCTGTTGCTACATTTTTACTTCTTGTTTGCCATTGGATTGGTATTGTTTAAAGTATGTACTTGATCGTTTCTCTTGGTTTGTACAGTTATGTTACTAATACTTGGTAAACTAAATAAAAATCTATTAAACGAAAAGCTTTGTATATGTAGAAATTGCAATTTTACCTATTCATCGTGTTGAATGATAATTGTGATTGAACAGCTTTTTGAAGTCCAGCCACAAATTCTGTATTGAATTAAGATATAGACTCCCACTTGGCTATTCCAGAACATAACATAGTTGTTCCTAATTCATTCTTGGGTAGCATTGCATTTACACTTGGGGTGATTGCATTGTAGGGATGCACCGATACCGTTTTTTCTGTATCGAGTACAAGTGCTAATATTTTTTTTCGGTACTCGCCGATACCGAAACCGGTCCTGTGTGCCCTGATTATCACGTCACGTCACTTCCCGAAGCTGCCTGGCTTCCTGACCAATCAGGAAGCCAGGCAGCGGGTCGTGAGGTGCTGCCCGGCTTCCTGATTAGTCAAGAACCCAAGCTGTCTAGCAACAAGTCAATCCGGCTTCCTAGCCAATCAGGAAGCCGGGAGCTGGGTCATAACCCACCGCCCGGCTTCCTGATTGGAAAGGAAGCTGGCACCCAGCTCCCAAGTTCTGATATCGGAGCATTTGGGTGAGTACTCACCCAAATACTCAGTATCGGCATTGATGCTAGTATCCATATTGGTGCATCCCAATTGCATTGTCTTCCTAGGCTCAGGGTTTTTTCGCAGACTGCATCAGGTTACTACTCTGTATCATTTACTTGATGTTTGCAATTCTTGCAAAATTATTTTTTATTGCTGCCTGTGTCTTTCTATACCAGAGACAGCCTTTTCCCCTGTACTAGGTCTGGTGTCAAAGAGACAGATAGTGAGGGAAAATCTGTCCATTTGGGTTGCAGACAGACAGAAATATAAAGCGAAGTAATAAATAAAGGGAAGTTTTAGCTCCAAATCTAAAAAAAAAATAAATCACTGCAGCTAGGCTATTCTTTAAATTGAGCCCCCATTTCCAAACAGAAATAGAAGTATACTGTTCCACATTTAGCATTTGTATTGTATTTGTTAGCTCCATACAAAATAGTATTGGTTCCCAAGGCAGCAAGTTACACCATGACATACATTATCTCGTCATTAACAGTCTAGGGTTTATTTTAGTGTGCCTGGGGGGATTTATCAAAACTGGGGCAGAAAGAACCTGGAGCAGTTGCCCATGACAACCAATCAGCTTCTATCTTTCATTTTCAAAGCTTAACTGAACAATCTGAAGGGAAATCTGATTGGTTCCCATGGGCAACTGTTCCAAATTCTTTCTGCTCCAGTTTTGATAAATTCACCCCATTATGTTTTTATTATATTTACATTTGCGTTCATACATTTGCTATTTTCACCAGGTATGTACAGCAATACCCTACAATATCTCCATTATTTTGTGTGACCTTTAATTAGTTGTGTGCCTTTTGCAGTTTTGTTTTACACAGGGCAGATTTCTTCACCTCTGTCCACAGTGATAGTATCAGAATCCTCTCTGTGTGCAGAAATTAGAACAGCAAACCCCAAACTCACTACCACCACTGCTGTGGACTTTGTCTAAGATGCACTTTAGTTGCCTAGAAGCAGATGTGTCTAAAGTGGTTCCACCACAGCCACAAAGATAAAAATGTTGGATTGGTAAATAAAGTAGCAAAATGTTGTCTTTGACTATGAAATTGCACTTCAATTAATAGAATAGTCCCCACTACATTTGTGTGGGTTGTGCTTGGGAACAGGACCCCTACCTGATGAACATCTGCTACAAACTGTACAAATCAGTTTGAACTGCACATACTCTGGTGCTTATTATATTCACACATAACATATATAAATTTAGCCACACAGGCAGTACAGAATCAAGGTGCTTGCACCATTTTATCACTTTATATGAATATTTATGTAAATGTCTGTACATGCTCATGTGTAACCATGGCTTTGGAAATAGTATATATTTTATGCATTCACAAGAAATGAAATATATTGTTCTCTCTCTCTCTCTCTCTGATAAAAGTATACAATTTATGAAAAAATTAAAGCAGTAGCTATTATTGATCTCCTGCTGAAAATACTAGTTGCCTGACTGTTATACTGACCCTCTGGCTACAATAGATTGAATCTCTGACCTGGATCATGTATACTAATGAGGAATGCTGGGGAAAAAAAAAGCCAAAGACCATATCAGGATTCATGTTCAGGTCAGTGACTCAAAATTTTGAAGTAAGAGGGTCATCATTTTGAGAAGAGCATGACAGCCAGCATTGTTGTGTTATGACAGGAGTCCATTAAAGCTGAACTCGGGGCACAAAAACATTCATCCAAATCTATTCCTCTTTAGCCACAAAGGATGTAAATCCACTTTGTGTACACCAAATGCCTTTTACAAGCCCAGTTGTTACCTTTGTAAAAGTAGCAGTTATTACATCACAGTGCTGTACATAGCTTGTGCAGAGAGCAAAGCTGTGGGAGGGACCCAGAAGACCCCGTCCACTACAAGGCTGCCTGCAGAAAACTTGAGGAGTGGGCGGGTACAAGATCAGTCACCCTGCACTGGGAGAGAGCAGCATTAACTGGTCTTTGCAGGAAAATCCTGCAAAAGTGTTATATTTAATTACTGCAATGATCTGAAAGAATTAAACAAGGACAGCATGATTCAAGTAAGAATACACATGCCTCTTGTATTTAGACAATATATACTTATTCTGGGGTTGAGCTTTAAGCTATGCCAGAGGAAAATGCATCAGAGGGAGGAGTCTGGTGGAGCAGGGTAAAGTGACCATCATGAGTACACTTATCTGTCGGATTACACTTTAAGTGTGATAATATTTCTTGCAATTGTAATATTGAAGTGGTGCAGAACACAGTCAGGGTCACCAGCACTCTTAATAGCCATAGCGTGCTCAAAACAAGCAGTCATCTGGAATGGTGCACTATTTGATGGGCAATATGTTTTTAAAAAGTAGTGTTTCCACTGAAAAGCCAGATGATACCTTGTGGTGCCAAATTATGTTTTGACCATGGTCTCTGTGTTCATTGTAAAACAGTAAGCACTTTATACAAGATGGAAATCTTTATGAATGAGGAATTGATAACTAAATATCAGATAGACACACAGTGACAATTTACAATGACAAGGGCTGATGAACAGAATGTGTTGGTTATTTAAATACATGCTGATACAAATTATATTGATACATGCTGATACAAAGTGTACCAGACAGAACATTTTTATAACTCGCTAAACAAATTGGTTTATTTGAATGTCTCTCAATTTAGATCTTGGTTTATTTTTGTAAAATTACAGCTTATTAAGTGTTCTATTAAGCCATATGAATGGAAAACTGCAGCTGTTAGAGAAAAAGATGGATCAATTAAACACATCTTCATAGCTTTTCTGAAGGAGACACCAGTTACAGGAAAGGATTATACTACTGTTTTGTAGCTTGGGTTCTTCTTTTTTATAGAAAATAAATTACTATGCAAAAACAGAGATATGTGTTTCACTAATGTTCAGTTCATGGAGTCAAACAAAATGCAAAAAATGTATTTGTAATTCTGACCTAATATTTAAAGTAGCATTAAACTCTTGAACGTTTTTTTCAACAATAAATACTGATCAAATAAATATACATTACCCAACAAAGTATTTATTTCCATTTTTGCCCAAGCCCTCACAATCATCATGTTTCCGAACAGCTGGTTCCAGCTCGCTCAGATCTGCGTCCCTAAACTTCCTGTCCAGCACAAGATCATAGGGGACATAGCATTCTCCAACAGCCCATCTGCTAGCATGGAGAAGGGATGAAAGAGAAGTGGAGGAGTAGGGTGCAGGAGAATGACTTTACCTTGCGGTGGCTGTGTGTTTGTGGATACACACACAGCTTACTAACACACAGAAGCAATGTCACTTTTTGTTACAATCTTTCACTCAAATAGCAATGTCACTTTTTTTTTTTTTCAAATGATGGTTCAATTCAGTTCTTAACACATATTATGATGACAGTTGGGTTTGACTGAATTATATTGTAATGTTTGGCCTACATAAACAATCTCATGTTTTTATCAAGCTTTGTAAATTAGCTATTATTTTAATGGTGTAACTTTGATGTAAAAAACAATCCATGAGTCTTGCTGTACTACCTGCTTATCCATGAATATCTACTGGAGCAATTCCTAATTTTATTTTTTAATTAAAATACAAAAGCAAATCTTTTCTGCCACCCAAAATATACCAGTCTAATCTGGTGTATCATACCTACAGGATGGTATTTCCAGTGCAAGAGAATTGCAAACCTGTCAACCTGTTTTCCTCTTTGGTGACAATGTTGTCACCGGGACAGAAAATGAAGATAAAACTCCCCAGTGAGGCTTTAGACACAAGAAAAAAGTTTTGTCTGTAGTTACAGTTTTAAATACCATTCCAAGCTGAAGAGCGTCAGATATTATCACAGCTCTGATGCCCAGGAAAACAACTCTGGACAGGGATTTGTCTTGTGACATGAAAGGGGGGTTTCCATTCTCTGTGCCAGTTGACTGGTAAAGTTACCTTTGGATTAGAAGGGTCCATTCACACCACGTGCGTTGGGCTGCAGACCCAACTCTATGGCAACATGAATTCCATTGTTTCCAATAGGACTAGTTGACATCTATGCACTGCATTCGTATGCACTTGATGAAAATGGAACATGCAACACACACTAAATGCAACTCAAGTGATGTAAATCCAGCCTAATAGTAATAATATTGTAAGGTCCTTAACTGCCTCTTTCCATTACCAGCATTGCCCCAAGTGAACTGTGTGCCTGATACTCTTATACCCACTGAGGCTATGGCATTACCTGCTAAAGCGTATCTAAACAGAAAAAGAAAAAGGTAATATATTGCGGCTCACCAGTCATAGATTAGGGGGCTCCATTAGTTTTTCTTTGTCAGGCTTTGTTTCCTTTATTCCTACCTGGTACTCCTGCAGATACCACTCTCCTGTCCCTGGGTGGCTCTGCTCACTCCTTCACTGTATCTATTGAGGGAGCCATGGTTGCTACCCAGGCTGGACTTAAAACATGTCTGCCTATGTGAATCTCCTTTACATGGGGGATGGGTAAATTAGTATTTACAGAACGAAGATAAGAGTGTTTTATGCTTCCAGTTCAGCTCACAGGAAATGACAAGGAAGCTTTATTTCTGGATTCAGATCAGCAGATATTTTCTGTATTTGTTGAAAATTGAATTTTTGATTTTGGGTTTAGTTATACTTTAAGTGACCAGGGTGTGGGGGTTTTTTTGCCAGTATGGTGAGGTTTAATCTCTACATATAGAGCGAAATGGGGCTCCATAGAGATAGACTGGAGTTTTAATACTAGTACAATGTGCCTCTACTTCAGCACTATTGTTACCTAAATACTTTTTAGACCAGGTAAGATTACCTTTAATAGGAACTTTTAAATAGTAGTAGTTTTAGTAAGTAATGAAATGTTAAAATAAACATCAATAAGATAACTTTTATAAATCAATATGTAATAAAAGTGTCCTATAGTTAATGAAAAGGCATCATCATCAGGGTATAATAAAGCGCTAAAGGGGTAGGTTATCACAGAAAAGACAATATTTACTAAATATTTTATATATTTCTAATGATGGGCTGAATCTGCCTAGGTTTTAGTTGCCAAGGTTCATTCAATATTGTTTAAAATACAGCGCACTTGAACTTAGAGGCAAATCCTATTGAAGTCCATGGGGGGGGGGTTTCTTTTAAAAATGTGGGCTATTTTTAGGACTAGTAGGCATCTGCCATCAAAAAAGGCATAGAAAGCTGAGCATTACCATGGTGACATGTACCAACGCAAAACAAAAATAAAAATTTAGGTATATAAAGGGGAGAAGTTTTTTTCATGCTGCTTCGAGTGCAAACCTAAAACATAAATCCATAAAATAACATGCTTAGAAATGCTTTAAATTTGTATGTGGTGTTATGGAACAGTACAATTTTTACTGACAGTGTCAGTGACAGAATACATTGGCAGTGCATAGGCTGTGGAATTTATTTTTTTTCTTTTACAATTTGGTTTGCTTACATACAGCAATAGCACCCCATTGTGCTTATTTTCACTTTGAAAAGAAGCCATCTTCAGAAAGCTTCAGCAGTGACGTATGCTTTTTGTATCAAATGGTAATAGGTCCACTTTGACTGGAAGATAGGAATTTGCCAGTAGTTTGCAGTGGTAGTCCGTGTGCTCACTGAGGTAAAACTGTCCTGCCGCTGGCTCTCATTCAGAGCCGGTTCATACCACTTCCAGTGCGTTACAGCATTATTAGCTGCTGGAACGCACTGGATCGCATTAGAAAATCCTCCCTGCTTTCTGGGGTGGGAGGGGGCATGGCGGTGCATTCACGTCAATGGAATGCACTATTTTTTGCGATCACACTGGACCAGAACGCAGGCATTGATGTGCCACGCATTCTGGTGCGGGCGATCACACTGTGGGCGAGGGTCCCCCCTCCTGCACCAGAACGCAGGGAGAATTCTAATGCGATCCAGTGCGTTCCAGCAGCTACTCATGTTGGGATGCACTGGAAGTACTGAAAGTGGTGGGAACCGGCCCTAAGAATCAAGAGACCGCAGATGATACAGCAGTATTACACTGTGCAGCAGCAGGACAGGTTTGATTAGGCATAATAGGCCTAATGTGTATGTCTAACTTTTATTTTTTCTCTGCTGTGTATGTGAGTGATATAATTTCAGGTAGTTTAGGTGAACGCTGTCAATACTCTAATAAAATAAACAAAAACCCACAAAAAAACCCACCCCTGAGCGGAAAGTGTTATAGCAAAAAAGCAGTTTCAACTAAAATAAAGGCTCTGTCAACATAACATAAAATCCAATATACCCTCAAAATAAATGAAAACCCCAAAATAATACCCCCAAAACAAAAAAATTATTTAGGGAAGATATGCAGCAAAAGAAAAAAGTTTGCTATGGCAGCTAAAAGTGACCGCTAACTTCAGATCAAGCATAAAATAAAATGACATACAGTTCTCAGATAAGCTTTGAGGGGACTCGCAGCATCAATCTCTTTCTTATTGTAACAATTTAGTAAAAGCTAAAAACTCCTAAAAATATCTGGCTAATGCGGTGTTCGCATCAAACACGCTTTCCCAAGGCATTTGGATCAAAATAAAGGTAAAAAAACAAAAAAGCCCCAAATTATAAAAACAAAAAAGGCAACAAAGGGTTAATTGCTCAGAGGTAGCAATCAGAAACAAAAATTATA